CAAATCTTAGAATTCCCCCACCAGCAAGGGGAATTCTGGGAGTTGAAGTCCACTCATCTTAAAGTGGCCAAGTTTGGACAACACTGCAGTAGAGGGTCGGACTGGCAGTGGGGATACCCTCAGCCACAGATGTGACTCAGTGGCTTTGGGCCAGAGACTCTCTGCCAGCCCAACATTCCTCAGTGGTGGTTCTGGAGAAACATAGGAGGAGAGACCATTGTATATACCGCCTTGAGCTCCTATATAAAAGGCAGGATATAAATCTTAAACAAGCCCACAATTTTAGTATGGGCTTGCAGAAACAGTGGAAAATGAGTATTGTCAGGAGTGTGACAATATGAAATAAACAAACATAATCTGCCCTCCTGTCGTGATATGAAAACTGTGCTTGGGGTGCTAACTTGAGGGTAGAAAAAGAGCTAAGAAGAACATGGTTTTTTTTAATGGGAGGTTGATATGGGTTAAGGAGCAGCCAGGCAGCAGTAGTGCATCGGACTTCAAGCAGGAGACGAATTAAAATGGCTAGCAAGCAAACATGGAATTAGCCAGTTTCAGACTGCTGAATTGCTACAGATTGCAGGCTGATTCAATCACTGAAGAGGAGGAGAATGAGGCAGTGTGGGATCTGGCTATCTACTGCAAAACCCACAGGGAGAAGGGGATCCGAAGAGGCTGGAAAGGCCCAAGTGTTACTATTCACAAGTGGTTGCAAGTGTAGTTTAATTAAAACCGTCTATTAACTCTATGGGAAATTTAATAGCAGCTACATTGCAGGGTAAACGCACTGTTGTATTAGCAGGCAGGGAAATAGTTAATCTTATGGATTTTAGAGCAATTTATCATATTCCTTTGTAGTACTGAAGCTTGGCATAGTTTACCTGAATGCTGCTTGCATCGTTATCTGGCTGAAAGAATCAATCTCACAGAGTAGCTATTATCTTTTTATCCTTAATTATGCTTTGAACAACAAGGAAAAAAAATTGATCTAGTTCACAAGAAGGTCCTTGCATGCATGCTTTGTTTTGTCTGAAGAGCCCTAAAGAACTCACGAGAAGGAAATTTTGAAATGTTGCTCTGTCTGCCTCGGTTCTAGGTATACATTTCCATTCTTAATGTACTGTAAAACTACCAGCTGTATTTTTGGAAAGTTGGGGGTGAAAGTAATGCCTCCTTTAAGAAGCTCCATTCTCACTGATTTTCTTGGCAACAGTGTGAGAGTGATTTGTCTTTGCTTATTTCTATGAAGTTTTTAAATTCAGAGTCTAGCCTACAGCCCTGATATTCCTGGTAGGTTCCCACCCCAGTACTCACCCAGACATGATGAACCTGCTTAGCCTTTCAAGATCAGCCAAGGTCAGCTGAGTGCTGCCACCTAGCTGGGCATTCATGTATTAATGACCATAAATCATACCTTTCAGGGAATGAGTCCTGCTGAAAAATAAGGGAGAATCTTATAACAGAGACAGCAGCAATAAGAGAAATGAAATAACACCATGAAAAAACTAAGTGGATTTGGCATTCCTAGTTGTTAATAAGCAAGTGGATTCTGTCATGATGCACATAACCAGCTGCAAATGAAGTGCTTTTTGTTTTAGCATAGATAGTGCAGCAGAGGTTTAAACTTTCCCTCAGGAATAATTTGATGAAAACATCTGCCTGTAATTTACAGGCACCTGAAAAGCAAAATGAGAGAGAAAATTTAATTATGGAATCTAGATTCAGACAATGTGGTTAAATGAAGGGAACAAGGTTTAACAGTTTGTACTTTGAAGGATGCGTGACCAGAATAATGTGATAGAAGTTGTCCTGCTATGTGTGGTTTTTATTTTTTAAAAGTCATTTTCGCATTTCCTGTAGGATACCAATTTCAGAGATTTTAAACCTCTTTTCGTAGCTTGGGGAGCCACAGAACAAGAAGTGCTGGCAGTGGTTAGCAATGTGTTGTAGTGGTCCGAATGATAAATTAGATTCAGGAGAATGGATTCAAATCCTGGCCTACCATGAAGTTGTGACTTTAAGCCACTCATTTTATCTCAGCCTCCTCATAGGATTGTTGTGGTGAACAAATGGGCGCGGGGATTGATTTATCTTGTCCTGAGATTCTAAATTAATTAACAGTATTAACTATTTATATGAAAAGGACTCTTTGGACTTTGAACAAACTAAGTCTAAGTGCAATTTAAATAAATTGCATTTAATCATTTAGTCTTGAAAATCTTTCACCTGAGAAATTTTGTCTACTGCCTCTTTCAAGGTTAGGAAACGTTGTGACTGTGGCTACTACAATACTTCAGATAATTCATCTTCTCCCTGCTTTTTTAAAAATATTAGCTTATTTATATACTTTTGGATAACAATAAATGAGGAGCTGGCATGCAGAATAAGCAGCCAATTTTTAGAATCAATTTATTGATAAGAATGCCCATCAGCCTTGCATAGGCCCTCTTAGTAAATGAAAATGGTGGATGGCTGGAGTCCAGTGCTGGTGGGGGGGGGGGGCTAGGGCAGTAGAGGACATCCTGAAGATCTATAGAA